GGTCCGCAGAAATCCTACATGGGAACTGCGGTGGTCCGCAGAAAATCCTACATAGGAACTGCGGTAGCCCGCAGAAAATCCTACATAGGAACTGCGGTGGTCCGCAGAAAACCCTACATAGGAACTGCGGTGGTCCGCAGAAAATCCTACATAGGAACTGCGGTGGTCCGCAGAAAACCCTACATAGGAACTGCGGTGGTCCGCAGAAAATCCTACATAGGAACTGCGGTGGTCCGCAGAAAACCCTACATAGGAACTGCGGTGGTCCGCAGAAAATCCTACATAGGAACTGCGGTGGTCCGCAGAAAACCCTACATAGGAACTGCGGTGGTCCGCAGAAAATCCTACATAGGAACTGCGGTGGTCCGCAGAAAACCCTACATAGGAACTGCGGTGGTCCGCAGAAAATCCTACATAGGAACTGCGGTGGTCCGCAGAAAACCCTACATAGGAACTGCGGTGGTCCGCAGAAAATCCTACATAGGAACTGCGGTGGTCCGCAGAAAACCCTACATAGGAACTGCGGTGGTCCGCAGAAAATCCTACATAGGAACTGCGGTGGTCCGCAGAAAACCCTACATAGGAACTGCGGTGGTCCGCGGAGTTCCAAGATCATTCATCAGCAAGCCTGAGCCCTGATCTCTTAAAATTATTGGAAACAGGCCAAACGCTGCGCAACCAGCTCACAAAGCCTCAGAATAACATGGAGGCCCAAAAAACGCCTGCGTCCTGAATTAATTAGCTTCTGCCCGGGGACATTAAAGATTGTCACCTTATTGTCAAGCCAGTGCGATGTTCTGCACATGTCTGCACTGTAAACCTTTTGTCTGCCAGTTAGTTCGTGTAAATGGTGCATTTACGGGTTGGTAGTTTGACGTGGCTTTTCCCACCTTGCCAGGGAGTGTTATGGCACACTAGGTTCGAGGTTGGTGTCGATGCACTGTTGACGGTGGTACGGCATAGGACAGCACCTTTCCAACTGCCAATACATTTAAACTTTGGGACTTGATCGTTTTTGTTCATAGTTCATGGGTTAATTCTTTGTCTTCCTGAGTGGATCGAACTTCAGCCAATATCCCAGGATTCCTTTCACGTGCACATCCTAAACCCAGTTTTTCTTGTTCGCATGGCAAGCTAAACCCTAAACCTTTAACCGTGAAGCCCTAAACATCCCTAAAACCCTGAAAGGTTGCCTTCCAGTTTTACGCCTGCCTCATGTTCGGCCTCCTTTGTACTAGCTCCGTGGCTTTGAAGTTTGGGGTTTTTGCACTGTGGGATCAGGGTTTAGGGTTTCGGGGTCAGTGTTGAGACTTCCATTCGGCAAGCCAAGGAAGGTCGCAATGCGAAAGCACGATGCCTCAACACTCCAACCGGGTTCTAAACTTGAAAATCCCTTATGTAACATTTTGAAAATTTGAAAACATGAGCGTTGCAACGCAGACGCATAACTACAGACCCGAAGCCCTACTTCCCCCCATCTGCACCGGCATTCCAAAGCCTCATAATCCTGTACAGTCTTGTGCCCCAACGGATTTTGTCCAGCAGTCGACAGGAGGCCTAAACGCTCAAACTATTGTGAGGGGGGGGGGGCGGGTTGTCAAGCAATGGTGATGTGGAAGGAGCATCAAGGATTATGCTTCGGTTCTTTATCAATCCCTGCGTAGTAACGGACCCGAAAAGCCCAAAAGACCCCCAAACCCCGAAAACCCTAAACAACCTCCAGCTTGCTCAGCACTAAATCTGAAGCTTGAAGCCTTCAAAAGCCCCTGAGCACCATGGGCACTCACCCGCAAGACAGCAAGGCTTTCTTCGCCACTCCGAGATGGTCGTCGCACGATCCGACGGCTCTCAGCAGGGCTCCATTGAGGAGTCCCTTGGCGGGGCATTTCACCAGGGCTGACTTTGATCTAGGTATGGGATACTGCACGTAAAACCTGGCCCTACGTCCAGGATATTTAGAGACTGCTGTCGAGGATGACTCGTAGTTAAAGACGGTGGTCGGCTTTGTATTGCGGTTCCCTGGACAGCGTGCTCGTTCCTGAGAGCCAGCTCCTGAGCACTTCAACACCTTTTGGGTGTTGCAGGGGTTCCCTTGGCGTTTTGGGACTAGTTTGTTTTCGTAGCCAGGAATTGTTCCTGTGTCACAAGTCCATAGGTACGCGAACGCTTTACTTTTTAGCCAAGAACATGATATGCTTCCTGCCGAAGATGAAAGCGCATCGAAAGCCCGCCGAGGTACATGAGACCAGTGGCCTATGCCTCCGTGCAGGGCGTTTACGCCTTTGTCTTCATTGGGGTGCTGCGAACTGTTTTTGACATCACGGTGCCTGGGATGCAGAGAGATTTCCAAGGAGGTGAGTCATCCGAAGGTCTTCTTGCAGTCCATATCCCTAAGCCTCCCCCTTTGTCCTAAATCCTGCTGCAGCGGAGCTTGAGCCTAGTTTCAGGTGACCTACTTGTCTGAAATGCCGGAGTACCACGAGAAGGCCTGCGTAGAAATGTCAACTGTCCCACCATGGTATATGCATACATATATGCCTTCATCAATGTATGTTGGATGATGTGCTGCATATACATATATATATATATGTGTATACAGTCTGTATATGTATATAAGAATATGTACAGTATATGTATGTATATATGTTATATGGAACACACACACACACACACGTACATACATGTGTGCGTTTATGTATATTTGCGTGTTTGTTGCTTGTCTGTCTGTGTGTGTGCATGTCTGCATCTAGGCATGCATGCATGTATGCAGGGACCAATGGATGCGTGCATGATCCGGCCTGACATTCCTGGCCTGGCCAGGCAGAGCTGATTCAGAATCAGGTGCTCAGCAAGGCGGGTGTGTGGGAGACAGCGGTCCAAGCCTGCAGCCCTAGAGCAGCCCTAATATAGGGGCCTAAATAATTACCTATACTATTGTGGGGGTTCCTTTCTATAAGTATAGTATAATGGGCCCCGAAACCCTATTCTAATTATCAAGGCCCTTATATTACATGTATGATCCCCACGTCCCCAAGCCTCAGAAACCTCGCAACCTTGAGCCAGTCACATGTCCCACCATGTTCGGCTCCAGCGATCAAGCCACGTTTTCCGTTCACCTGAGCCCGGCTCGCCTCAGTGGCTCCGGGTTTAGGAGTTTAGGGCTTTTGGCAGTTTCCTTGCAGCTTTGGACAAATCCCGCAGACCTGCCGCATTCCTAGCTATGACCTTCCAAACCTCTAAAACACGACTATCGAATGCTAAACCCCGTATCATTTCATCCGAGCCACCCTGCGCCTCTTAACTTCATGGACATCGCACGCTAGAGAACCCGAGCTGAATCCTACATGGGATCCGGAGAACCCAGGGATCCCGAATAAAGTGCCCCTAGCTTGAGGTTAAGCAACCCCATGACTGCTTTTCAGGCCTAGACCTACTTAGAGGATCATGGGACTTAGTAAGTAGGTTATAGTTGGGGTTATAAGTCCCCTAAGTGGGGTTATCCTAATTATAACCTACTTATAATCTTCTTTAGTAAGTCCCATGAGCCTTCAAGTAGATGCTAAGCTCGACAAGCCCAGGTGGCCACCATTTTCAGAGTCTTGGCTTGCCAAGTTACGGAAGATTATTGCATAGGGTTGGGACCGGGGAGTTTCTGGGGTTGGGCTTCGGCATGTTTCGGTGGTTCCACGTGTTTCGGCATTTGGGTTCCGGGTTGTCTTCTTCGTTTTACATTTGTTTCCGGGGTGTCGTGTCAGTCCAAAGGCAGTTTTCAGTTGAACGCACACCCTAAACCCTAAACCGATTTGTGCTGAGGGGGAAGGCAGGCGCCATCTTGCCAGGAAGCCAGATGTACGTTGTACTTGTTGCTGCAGTTTCCCTCTTAGCGCTGTCGGGCTGTGTTTACCTTCAAGATGAGACCAGCATATGCCTGGCCAACCTCATATCCGTCCTTTTCAACACAAGACCCTGTGCATCTAGGCTTCGTGACGCTGCTCTGCATGATCAACATGGTCCTGATTAGCGGCATGGCAGGATCCGGGCTGGCCCAACCCACAGGGTTTCGGAGTGTGTCGTAGCACTGAACCCTAGCCCTGAGCCTTAAACCTTGAACATGTCTTCCCTCAAACCCCAAAGTCTTCGACCTCAATCCCTGAAAAGTCCTCGACCTGAATCCCTAAAACCTTCAACCGTAAACCCTTAAGCCCAAACTCTCCCTAAGTTGTGAAGCCTCCGGAAGATCTTTGTTTTGGGGCCATGGGTTCACTGAACGGCTGTCGGGCTACCTCGTCAGTTCGAGGGCTTCAGAATGAGAGGATCCTGTTTGTTGTTTTTAGGTTTAGGGCTTAGGGTTTGGGGTTTAGGGTTTAGGGTTTAGGGCTTAGGGTTTAGGGTTTAGGGGTTTAGGGGTTTAGGGTTTAGGGTTTAGGGGGCTTGGAAGACCAAAGCCCGAATTCATAAATCTTAGCCTGTTTGAACTCAGAAGCCCCCTATGCGCTCCGAAGGCACCGGCGAAGCCGCAAGCGCTCCCGCGACATCCAGCACCCCACAACGGCCACCAGAACCCCAAAGCCACGAAGCCTCATGGCTTCCGGCAGGGTGCCAGCCAGCCCCAACCTAACCTTTGGCTAGTAGGGAATGGAGGAATGTGGTACGATTATAACTGCTATCACTACCATTCTTCCTTCCATTCCCTACGAACCAAAGATGGGCAACTGGGGTTAAAAGTATAGTTGCCTTAATATTAACCGTACCTTAATAATAACCGTAATTACTAAGTCCCATGATCCTTCAAGCCACAGGCTTTCATCCTCGCATCTTGAGAAGCTATCCAAAGCTGAGGCAAGGTGCCGGACATCGAGAAAGGCCTGCGAAATGCGAACCCAAAGCGAGGGCCCCCAGTGCTAGGGTTTCATAGGAGGCTAAAAGGGGTTTTAGCCTATGATTAGGGTTCCCATAATAGGGTTCACATTAGGGAGTCCCTACCCCAAGAATCTTAAACCCCCCTTTTGGCCTCCCATCAGGGTTTTGGACTTATGCTTGAGGGGAAGCAGTGAGCAGTTCTTGCAGCAAAAGCAGCTTAGTCTTTTCATGTCGAATACCATGGGGACATTGTGAGATGGTGCTCTGTGTCCCAAAGCGTTTCTGAATTTGCGCTGGGGAGTGATTCTCTGACCTCAATGCAGGCCTGCAGTATCTGGTGCAGCATACTTACATCTAATCATTCGTTGTTCCCTGCTGAATGAAACTCCGTTGTATTGAAGTCTGAACGGCTGGTCACGGTATCTGAATTCGGAGACTTAAACAAACCCCAAACCCTGTTCTAATTGCTACATCTCAAGCTGCAAAGCCTAAAGCTGTCGTCTTCCTAAACCCTAAACACTTAATGTCGACAGAGTCCTACCCCCTCAACCCCCGATCGAGCTAGTAAACTATGGGTCGGATACAGTACGAATACATCGTGTTGACGAAAGTTTTGACCTGCTGGGCCTTTCATGTCTACACACGTCTTGCGGAGTAGCGGAGTAGCGAAAAGTGAGATTTACGTGGCCTGGCCAGCGGAGTAGTTTGTATCAATTTGGTACCCCCCCCAAAGATCCATGTATTTTGTCTGTGTTCACCTGTTTCCCCCTCGCGAGCATCTCCTCACGACCATTCTTCCGCTCGTCCTCGCCTCCTCATAACGGCACAAACCCCTCCCTCCACTCACATGTCTCGGATCATCTCCTCATCACCACACGAACCGACCACATTGAAACCCAATACGGGCCAATATTTCAATATGGCTTTCGCGGGGCCCGGCCCATATTGAAATATTGAACCACGTGGAATTTCAATATGGCGGATCCAAGATCCAAGATTGCACGGGACTCTTGGGGAGGAATCTTGGATCATGGATCTTGGATCTGCCATATTGAAATTCAATATGGCCTCAATATTTCAATATGGACCTCCCTGAATCCAAGATTCCCGTGCAATCTTAGATTTTGGATCTTGGGTCCGCCATATTGAAATTCAATATGGCCTCAATATTTCAATATGGCCCTCCCTGACTCCAAGATTCCTTCCAGGAGTCCCGTGCAATCTTAGATCTTGGATCCGCCATGTTGAAATTCTATATGGCCTCAATATTTCAATGTGGTCCTCTGCCCTTCTTGGTTTCTTCACGGCTCCTGTGTCAGTCTGCATGTGCATGTCTGCGGGCACGCAAAACGTCAAACAAACCAGTGGCCACCTTGCCCCACTAACCTGCAAAGATTGCTTTTAGGCTTGTTTGGGACCGTACAGCACTTTAGCAAACAGATTTTATTAGTTTCTTGCAAAAACCAAAAAAAACAATCTTTTTCGAGGCCTGGGGAGCTAGCCTGAAAGACTGGGCAAGATTGATTTTTTGAGACAATACAGCACGTTGGCAGAAACGTGGTTTCTTTGGGACAGTACAGCACTTTTGCAAGAGCATAGCTAAAGTGCTGTAGTCTTTCAAGAAAGAGAATTTGCTGAGTGACCCGCGCGGTGCAGAATGTTTGCTTGCGCCCTATCAGCGTTCTGATTTACCGAGGACTTGTGCTTTGCCGCCTCGCTGAAAGCTGGGTTCATTTTAAAAGTCTAATTCATGGACTCACTCCGGAACCTTGAATCGCAGCAGTACGCTGGAGAAAGCAGTTTGCTCACCTGGAGGATCAAACCATAACAAAAGCAACAATGACATCCATTTGTGTTTCAAATTTCTGTTGTAGGTATTTAGGTGAAACTTGGTCTGGTTGTCATATGAAATTGTACAACATTTACAACCACTACCACGGTTTGTGTTTGTTTTATAAGAGACGGTAGAGGATTGCACAAGTCCTGATGCAAAAGGATGTTAAATGTGATACTTCTGATTCAGTGTACACCGTTAAATGATCAAATCTGCAGGGTAAATGAAATAAACCAGTGTAAGTGAAAGAGTATCTTAATGTTGTTTCATTAGTCCTACCTAAACAACTGAAAATGAACATATTTTGGCTTTATGAGAGAATGGAAAAATGGCTTAAAGCATTTTGGCAGGAGTTTTGTTACTAGCATAAGGGCAAGGCGGTATTAGTAAACCAGGATCAAGGCTAGAGCGTGAACGTTATTGATATTCATGTTTGGTTACTACTCGTAGTAGTTGACTGTAGTAGTAGGCGTGCTGGTGGTAGTAGTAGTAGTAGTAGTAGTAGTAGTAGTAGTAGTAGTAGTAGTAGTAGTAGTAATAGCAGCAGTAGTATTACGATTCTTGTGGTGGTTTGAGTTTGATACAACTATCTTGATAAGACTTGAAAAAGTGGTGGGAATTTGTCTAATACCATGAACCAACATTAAGAGTAATGTGGTGAAGATTAAGATTAAGTAGAAACAGTAATCGTAGAATGAGTATGTATAATAGTAGCAGTAGTAGTAGCAGCAGCAGTAGTCGTAGTAACAGTAGCAGCTTGATAATAGTTTTAGTAGTATTAGTAGTAGTAGTAGTAGTAGTAGTAGTAGCAGTAGTAGGAGGAGTAGTAGGAGTAGCAGTAGTAGTAGTAGTAGTAGTAGTAGGAGGAGGAGGAGGAGGAGTAGTAGTAGTAGTAGTACTAGTAGCAATAGTAGCAGTAGTAGTAGTAGTTGTTGTTATAAGTAGCAGTAAGTAATAGTAAGTAGTAGTAAATCGTAGTAGGTAGTAGTAAGTGGTACAGTAGTAAGTGGTAGTACGTAGTAGTAAGTAGTCGTAAGTAGTAATAGCTGGAGTATATGCCACGACAAGAAACAGAGCCACTAAACTGATACTTGTTTTCAAATTTGAGTACTGTGTTATGATGCGCATAAACAGTAGGCACAAAAGAATCGATACAGATTCTAATGGTATTTACAATGTTTGGGGCTCCTACTGGTAGCTGCAACGAAATTGCTCCTTGGGGGGGGGCTTACCATCTCAATGGCAGTTGTAGGAGCAGGGAGCAGGCACAGTAGCAGCAGCAGCTGCTGCGAACAGGTCGAAATGCATGGGTCTATTGGTATTTAAGTAGTTTGTGGGGAGGGGGGTGGTGGCACATATATATATATATATATATATATATATATAAAAGGTAGCATTCACACATATATATATATATATATATGTAAACACGTTTACGTACCTAGGCAGTCGCACGAGGTCTGACATCGTTGATAGACTGCCTAAGCCGCAAGGGCACAGCAAAGCGTTAAAACGCATGGATCTTTCGGCGGGGTAGCATCAACTTACATCCCGTTTTGAAATTATATTGCTTTAATGTTCCGGCGGAGCAACTGGTGGGTCCTGTTCGCTAGGATTCTATAGGGGCAATGGGGGGCCTCTCTTCCACGAAACAAGGAGTAGGTCAAACTTTCGTCCTATCGCAGTAGTAGCCCCTTTGCAGTCCATAACTATAGTAGAATATAATGTACCCCCAAAGCCCTATTCTGATTATCAGGGCCCCTAAGTTATGCCCAGGTTTCTTGGTGTCCGGCTGTTGCTGCTGATTACGCAGATCCAACCTCAGGTTCTGCAGGGCATCACCGCCCCTTGGCAATTGATATCTTGGGATTTCGGATCTTTTTGGTGTAGGGACTGGGGTTCAGGGATTGGACTGTGTTGCTTGCTTGTTTCAGGCATTCGCACCATCATCCTCGTCCTCATCATCACCATCAGTACCATCATCCTCACCATCCGCCTCCTCCTCCTCCTCGTCATCATCAGCCTCATCAACATCCTCATCACCATCATCATCATCACCATCATCATCATCATCATCCTGATCGTCACCCTCATCATCCTCAGCAACATCATCAACGTCGTCATCGTGCTCATCATCATCACACTCATCCATCATCATCATCATCATCGTCAGCAGCACCACCACCATCACCATCACCATCATCATCATCGTCATCGTCACCACTGTCATCACCATTACCACCATCATCATCATCCCCAGCATCATCCTCATCACCATCAAGCATCATCACCATGAAGCACCATCACCATCATCATCATCCTCATCATCTCCACCATCCTCATCACCGTTATCAGCATCAGCAGCACCGCCGTCACCGTCACCATCACTATCACCAACATGGTCATCATCATCCTCCTCATCATTATCATCACCACCACCACCATCACCTTCAGCATTACCATCATTGTCTTCATCTCCCTGTACATATATATATATATAGGTACATACGTATATGTGTATAGATATACACATATTTTTGTTCATGTTTATGAAACAGTACAAGTAGAAGTAGACTCTGATATGGCATGCTAGCATGTGCTGCGTCGTTGCAGCATTTGTTCAGTGTTCCAAAAGCTTGCGTTTTGGTTTCGTATCGTCGCTCCTGCGATATGGTTGGGACGTTCGTCATTGTACGTATATCGTGTATTGTATCCTAGGCAGAGGCGAGTTCTCCCGTGTAGCTGGAGTGACGTGAGGTCGGCTCACCACTCTACAAGACGCTGAACGAGAATGCAAAGAAGCTTCACATCGAGGACGCTGGTGCGAACGGGATGAGGGCGCAATCCCGAGTTGCCAGGCTTCGCGGGTTTTGCTTTGCGTGCTTAAGAAATCGCGAATGGATAGATCGCCCCTACCGAGCCGTCTGCAGTGGCAAGTTCTAGCCGTTGCAATGGAATTCTCGACCCTGCATGCCGGGCAGGAGATGTTTGCGAAGTGGACCTTCACGCCCAAGCAGGCCGTCTCCCTCAACCTTCGTAGACATGTCTGCGAACTGCCCTCGCAGTAAACGTGTCGTACCCTTATGATACTTTTCCGTAGCCTTACACTACCGATCATCGTACCCTTTTCCGTTAGGTTTACTGGACCTGTTTGCACCAGGATCCCTTGTGTTGAGTGCTACTTAGAGGATCATGGGACTTAGTAAGTAGGTTCTAACTGGGGTTATAAGTCCCCTAAGTGGGGTTATCCTAATTACAGTATAACCTACTTATAACCTTACTTACTAAGTCCCATGAGCCTTCAAGTAGGATTTGAGACTTGGGCATGCCCGTTGTAAACCCACGCCCCAGTATTCAGGGTTTTTTAGGGGTTCAGGGACCCCAACCCTAAAACCTAAACCCTGAAACCTGAACCCTAAACCCTGAAACCTAAACCCTAGACCCTAAACTGGGTTCATGCCTGGCCGGGTGGGGCTGAAGGTTGAGCAAGCACACTTAAAGGGAACAGTGATAGGAGCCTCAAATCCCAGGCTCGACTGGTCTACATTCATCTGGGAGTTTCCGAAAACAGGGTGACCCAAATATAGCATCCTCAATATTAGGCTCCTTATTATACGCACCCAAAAAATGGCACCTTTAATTCGGAAACTCACATCTGTATTCATTGTCCCGAGGCGTTGCTTGCGCATGCTGCCGCCTTGAACTATGAGTGTGGCGTGCCTGCGTTTCGAGGGTTCGGAGTTCGAGTGCAAGCTCGCAGTTAGTTAGGTCAGCGCCGAGATTCGGGGGAGGGGGGGGGGGACTTAAAAGCCAAAAGTCCATAAACTTGCATTAGAACTGTAGAAAGCCCTGGATCCCACCACACTGGAGCCACACACCACAGAAGGGGGCTCAGCAAGACAAACCAACAGGAACCCAAGCGCCAACACAGAAGCTTTACAACCTTGACTTTGCGACCACCAAGCCTAAAACCCTAAACCTTTAAATCCTATATCCTATCGTCCTTAAGCCCCTTGCAGCCTGCATAAACCAAAGCCCGGACACCCTGAAGCCCGTATACCCTTAGCCTTCAACCTTAATAGAAACGCTGGGGCCCAACATCACTAAAACCTAAATCCTGGCACCCTTAAACTCTAAGACCCTCACCCCCAAAAGAAGCAAACCAGCGAACCTAAGATAACTTGCCCTCCCCCCCTCGGCCCGGCCCCCCAAGGAAGCACAAGCTCCCGGTGTCAAGACAGTTTAGGTTTAGGGGGTAGGGTTTAGGCTTTAGGGCTTAGGGTTTGGGGTTTGGGTTTGGGGTTTAGGGTTCAGCAGTGTTCCTCAGGGGTTCTTAATATAGTTACAGTAGAATAGGCTCCCGTCCTATACCAACTATTCAGTCTAATTATTCGGGTCCTGCACTGAGCCGACTCAACGCTTACAGGATACATGAATCTCCAGCCCAGGCCTCCTCGTGGCGTCCCAACCTCGGTCGAGGGTTGGGCGTTGTTGTTTTGGGTCTAGGGTTTGGGGCTTGGTTTTTTTTCGTAGAGTGTTTCTAAGTGTTTTAGTTTCATAATGAGGGGGTTCGGGTATAGAGTTTCGGGGTTGTTAGGTTGGGGTTTCACAGTTTTACGCTTATGTAGCAAGGCGCTGCAGGGTGTTCATAGTTTTTGCTTCTTTTGGTTTTAGGTATGCAGCGGTAGCAATTTGCTTTCTTGAGGGATTGATATTGTTCAGGGTTTTTGTCTACGCTGCGCTGGCTTCGCCACGTTAAAACGACGTTACTGTGAGCATTTTAGGGCTCAGGGGGTCGGTGTACACTGCGCCGGGTACTTTATTTGAGCTACAGCAGCATTATGGTAAGCACTTTTGGGTTCAGGGGGTTGAGATTTATGAGGGGTATCTTGAGACGTTTAAACTTTTCTCAGATTCTCAGGGCTAAAAATTGAGACGCTCCGCGCGCAACTCAACATGCTACACCTGGAAGCCCGCCTAGGTTAGGGTTGCAGAGTAAAGTTCAGAGGCTGGGGCTTAGGGTTTAGGGAGCTTCATTAGTAAGTTGCAGAGCAAAGTCACTGCACTTGCACGTGCTTCTGTCAGCCCAGCCAAAGCGTTCACAACACTGCGTTTAGCTGCATGGAGGCCATGCATTCGTAAGCCCAAGGCCCTAACCTCCAACTGACATCTGAACTCTGTTTGCAGACGCTGAGGATCTTGACATACTGCATGTGGAGGCTCCGGCCGGAGCAGAAGAAGGCTCGGTGGGTCGTAGATGAGCCGTACAGTAGAGCCCAAAAGCTGGAAACCCCATAGCCTCAATCCTTAAGAGTAATGTATAGGGAATCCCAGCACTATTTGGCATTTACCCGGTTTCCAACTTTATGGGGTTTACTGTAGACTCCCAAACCTCCATAAACTGGATGGGGCTTAGGATCTATGAGCAAAATCCCCCAGCCGTCCTGTGGTGGATGCATTCGGTTACATGACCAAGGGGTGACCGGTTTATGGTTTAGTAACTTGTTGTCACATGTTATTGAGGGGTTTACTGTAGGTATCCGTAGATACAGGGAGACACTAGGCGAGCCCAACTCAACCCAACCTAACTCCTAACTACGAACCACCAAGTCCTAAAACCACCTACACTGCAACTATGCCGAACACATTTCAAGATTTCAGCTGCCGACAACCTCGACGCAGATGCTTCGTGCTTGACGGTCTGGGCGCAAGGGTTGCTTTTTTTGTGGTGTGTTCGGGGTGTTTGCCTTTGTAGGGTTGGAAGCCAACACCCAGTACTCGGAAGAGTCTCAAATTGTCTTCAATGTCCTCCAGTCTACACCCCGAAACCACAGACCGTACACGCCTGACCACAACCTCTAAGCCCACACCCTAAATCAGTCTTGCCGGCACAGGCCCTGATGACGACGCCAGGAGGGAGCTCTGCTGGTGGCTTGGCCTGGCTCAGTGGTACTTATACAGTGGCCTTAATAATCAGAATAGGGTTTGGCGGGTATATTCCAAAATTTTAAGAAGGAGCACCAAAATCCCCAAATGATCAGGGGACCTGGCCCGTACGGTTAGAAGTAAGATAACTCGCAATAGAGCCGCTCAGAACCGGAGCCTTCAAGTAGAGACTGTTCGGTTCTGGCGGAAGCTCAGGGGCGAGGGGAAGCGTAGGTTCGGGGGTAGGTTTTGGCAGAGTCTCGATCCTCTGACTTTGGATTCTTGGAGTTTTGCACTGTTTAGGGCTACGAAACCTCACCCTGGAACGGAAACGCTTCCTGAGTTGCGCGAGCTCGGGAAATCTCTCACGACGGCTACCAGAAGCTGTTGGACGCGTGAGCTCGAGGGACCAGGGTTTGGGGTTTGGCGCTTTGAGCTCGGGGTTTATGATTCAAAGCTTGGGTTTTGGAGCTCAGATATTCCATCCCCAAAGTCTGGAAAGCTTGGGTTCGAAGCCTAGTAAACCCTAAACGCTAAATCTCTAAACCCTAAACCCTACAGTAAACCCTGAACCCTAGTTTCAGGGTGGGAAACCTTGGAGGCACCTTAGAACCCCCAAATCTCCGAGCCAGATTCCTTCAGCAAAAGTGGAGCCTAGTTCTCGGCGATCAAGCAGAAGGCATAGGAGGCCAACAGGGGGTTTAGCCTATGGGGATTAGGGTTCCTTTACAGGGATCTATAGGGGTTCCTTTAAAGGGATCTAAAAGGGTATCATAGGAGGCTAAACTTGTTGGCTGTAAACTCAACTTTTCCAACTTTTGGGGTTCTTATAAGGTAGTCGATTCTGAAAGTTTCAACTTTTATTTCCCTGGTTTTTGGTCCAGTGAGCAAAAGGGGTTTTAGCCTATGGGGGTTTAGTAGGGATTAGGGTTCCCGTAATATGGTTCATATCAAGGAATCCCTACCCCAAGAATCTTAAACCCCCCTTTTGGCCTCCCATCAAGAAGGTTTCTAGGATCAATACAAGTTAGGATTTAAAATAGAGGAACTCGCGTCCAGCGCTTTGGGTGTACAATGTTGCTCAGAGATCATGGATTAGGCTCTAGGGTTTGGAGTAGGGGTTTCTGTTCAGAGCTTTGTGCAAGTGTGATTGCAAAGCCCTAAACCCTAAACCCTAAAACCTAAACCCTAAACCCTAAACCGTGGGGCCAAAGCCCTCAAACCCCGAACGGCAGCATGCTTTTGTCACCCTCGGGGGCGAGAGGAAAATGGTAGAGTGTACAAAGCAGGCGGAGTTCGAACGGCCTTTCATCAAAAGGTTCGTGGACCCTAAACTCCAAGCCAAGACCCTGACACCCACCACTCCCGAAACCTGAAACCGGAACCTGCCAGCGCTTGTTAATATTTCCCTTCAAGCTACCCTGAACCATGCAGTCGATGACGGATCCCTGGTAAAGTTCACCCCCTGAGAGCACACTGGCCTATGGTCGTGTAGATGGTTGTTGCTGCTGCACTTGGTGACTAAATACCCGGGATGATGTCTTTTTTTCTGTATCTGTTCATTTGGGAAAATCATGATAGCTAGCTTTGGGTGGTTGGAAGCGAGACCAGGTCCAGTGTCTCCGTAGGGAGTTGCCTGGTGTAATCACCGTCATCATGATCGGTGCGGCCGGCAAGTGACGGTGATTGATGAGCACCATCGAGCTAGGCCATAGAATCAGCATAAGCCCTTAACCCCAAACCCTAAACCCTAACACCCTCAGACCTCAGCTTCTAAGTTCCCCAAGAGCCAAGAAACCTCATCCGTACAGTCCTCCAGCCTTAAGCACTCAAGTTTAAAGCCCCGCTGGTCAAGCCGCAAAGCTGAGCTATCTTATCTCCCCAGAAGCCAGAGGGAGGCCCGTTCATGATTCAGGAACGATGTCCTTTTATTAGTGTTCCTGACAGTATAGCTCTCTTTTTCTACTTAAATGACCGTCGCCAGGGCCCTCGAACTCCGAGTAGGAACTAGGTCATGACTTTGTGGCCCCGCCCGGAGCGAGAAGACTGTGTGGATTGCTTTATGCAGGATATTCATGGAATCTTTGGTTTTGGCATCCATCAGCCACAGCCTTCCGCCGCTCCGTTCATGCGGGATGGATAGCTTTTGATTAGAGACCTCGCATATATGAAGATGAAGGTTGCGCAGATGTGAAACGACTGTCGGAAGGTGCTTATATATCCTTGTCTTCTTCCTCATGACAATCATCATCATCGGCATTACCGTCCAAGCAGCACATCGTCATGAGCGGCAGCACCGACCTCATCATCACCATCAGTATCAGCACTTCCATCTGCATGATCACTATGATTATCACCCTCATCTTCGTCACCCGGCGTCCTCGTCCTTGCTCCTGCTCCTCCCCAACCGAGGTCGTAGTTGTTCAGAGTCATCATCATGGTCATCCTGTCCGTCGTCGTCACCATCACCATCACATTCACCGTCGCCATCGCCGTCACCGTCACCACTACCACCGCCAGCACCAGCACCAGCACCAGCACCAGCACCAGCACCAGCACCAGCACCAGCAACACCAGCACCACCTGCACCACCTGCACCACCTGCACCACCTGCACCACCTGCACCACCTGCACCACCTGCACCACCTGCACCACCTGCACCACCTGCACCACCTGCACCACCTGCACCAGCTGCACCACCTGCACCACCTGCACCACCTGCACCACCTGCACCACCTGCACCACCTGCACCAGCACGAGCACCATCACCATCACCCTCCGTCGCCATCACCATCACCCTTGCCCTGACCCCGACCCTCACCCCTCCCCCTCCCGTCCCCATCCCTGTCCTCATCCACATCCCCATCCTCCTCATCATCCTCATCGTCGTCGTCATCGTCAGCATCCCCACCATCATCATTATCATCAGCATCAACATCATGGTTGCCATGGCTCCCTTCACCGTATTCATCATCATCATCATCATCATCATCATCATCATCATCATCATCATCATGTTCATCATCATCAACACAGTCATCGTCTTCGTACTCCTGCTGCTGCTCCTCCTCCTCCTCCTTCTCATTATCATTACCATCAGTATCACCACCAGCATCATGCTCCCTCCATGACCGCCAGCAGAATATGCAGCAGCACCACCGGCACCAGCATCACCGCCACGGCCACCACCATCATTGTCGGCACGCGCCACCATGAAATCGTCACCGCCAGTACTTTCACCCAGACATACCCATTGGATCTCCGCATTTGCGGGTTGTGGAGTTGGGCACCGGCAGAGTTTAGCCACAAGCTAAAGTAACTGAACCGGACATGCCGAAGCCGGAGACCGTAACTCCGGAGCCCGAAACGGAAACTGGGGCCTGCCTTTCAAACTGGCAACATGCAGAAGCTCATAACGGCAGGTGCTCAAGAATTCCACAACCTTCAAAAAACCTAAACCCTAAACCCGAAACAACAAATCCCATGTTGGGCTCGAGCTTGAGCCTCTTTCGACGTGTGTTTGACATATCCAGACCCATCGGATCTCATGCATCTCGGTTCTTGTTAGGGAACTTTGTTGAAGTTACCATAATAGGGATCTGTAAGGGGTTAGGGTTTACGGATTTTTTATTTAAGCTACCATAATAGACATAATAATTGGGATCTATAGCAAAATAACATGGTTTCCTTGTTGTGGTAACTTAAATTAAACCAGGCTGTTCAGTCGTACACTTTTTTACTTTCAGGTTTCTGGGTTCCTATTGTAAAGTAAGAAGCCTCAAACAGTATATACTTTTTCGCAGTGGGTTACTGAACAGCCTAGGAATCTATAGTAATTAATATGGTTTCCTTCTTATGGTAACTTAAACCCTAAACCCTTTAAATAGAATCCCTTCACAAGAACCCAGGAATCGCCTGCTTCTGTCGGCCATCTGCATCTGCCTCGCCGGGGCAGCCCGGAGGGGAGAGGACGTGCAGCAGCATCCCGGCGCCAGGCATTATAGGGTTCCGTTTAAGGGGTTCCTTAAAGGGATCCATACGGGATCTATAGTCGGGTTCAGTATTATTGGGGCCCTAACCATGATTTAACTGCAACATTTTGGGGCGGTTTCTTGTTAAAAGTGTAGAAGGAGCAACCACCAAGGCCCTAGTCTAATTAGTTAAGGCCCCTAAAGGACACTGTACACTAGAAGTGCATATCATGCACACAAACATACCTTCATGCAGGGTAATTAGGTAGGTTGATCGATGGATAGATAGACAGACAGATACATAGAGAGACCGATAGATAGCTAGCCAGCTAGACTGACGGATTGATTGAGTGAGTGAGTGCATGGGTGGGTGGGTGGGCGATTGATTGATTGATTAAGAGGCTGAGCGAGAGATACAGAGAGATTTTTTGTACCAAACTTGCGACAACGAGCCTTTTCTGTTCACCTTCCGTCAGCGACCCAGGCACGAGGATCTTGTTGCAGCCCAGGAGGACCAACATGTGAGTGCACAGGGTTAGGTGGGGCGGTGGCCAGGGGTGTGCGTATCGGACGGGTATCTTGATGAGAGAAGTGAGGCCCAATTGCCAAAATACCGTGGCACTTCGCCAGATAGCTTAAGTGATGGCAGCCAGATGTTACGGTATCACGCCTCAGTGCCTTAGTCTGGCTCACTCGGCCTCGAACCTACACCCATGAACCTTGGCCCCCTCGAAACTTATGCTTTGAGTCTCACAGAAGCACATCTATCCCATGGCCTCCAGGCTCGAAACCCTGAACTGTGAACCCCTGAACCACAGGCACCCTGAGGGGGGTAGAGGGGAGGGGGCTACGGGATTACACTTCCTTAAATAGGCCATATTGAGTCCTTGTTGTAGGTATTGAGGCCCCCTGCCCCCTTAAGGGTCCTTATGACAGTGCCACTGAATCACTGAAGCTTTGCAGCCCTAGACTCGTAGACCGAACAGGACGGTACCCGAGAACACCTCGAGATCGAGTTGACAGAAGCAAGCGGGGCCCATGGACGCGAGACTCTGGAAGAAGCGACTACCGTCTGCTGCGCGTGCGAAGGAATCAGGGGCCGCCTGGTCTACAAGAGGCTGACCTGGTGCCCTCCCCCGGCTTGTAGACTTGGAGGTCTTGCGAGTGCATGCCGTTGAGCTCTTGTAGCTGGCAGAAGCACTTGGGCTTGGAAGCAGTGAAAAGAAGAGTTCGGCCACTTGGTTTGAGAGTTAGCATAAGTAGGTCAGGTGGAAATGGAAGCACTCCCGAAACCCTGAATTCATCGAGATGGTCCTGTGTCAGAACTTTTACCCTACCTGGTCTCCATGACTCGAGAGTGATGTCGGGGTTCTGAATGGCCTGCTTTTTTCGCTCCCTGTAACAGCACCAGAAGTCTGGCATCGTGACGGCGTGCCAGAGGGTCAAAGTTTCATGATTCATAAACATACGTATGTCCATCCATCCATCCATCCATCCATCCATCCATCCATCCGTATGTACGTACGTCCGTATGTACACACACACACACATATGTATATATCAATATACACACACAATATGTGTGCACACATACACACATGTGCACATAGGTAGGTAGGTAGGTACTCATGTACGCATGTATGCCGCCGTATGCATGCATGCATGCAGGCATGCAAGCATGTATACATGTATGTGTGTGTATATATATATATATATATATGTAAACAAACATGAACACCTCTGCCATGGCCTGCCTCGAATTCTTGTACACTTTGCATGCAGTGCATGGCGCATCTACGAGGGTAATGGTGCTTTGCACACTGTTCTGCTACGATCTCGAATCATGTCTTTACGACTGCTGCCGAACTTGTCATCCCCCAGATCCGCTCACTTGGTCTGCTTCCATACAGATAACGGATATGTGGGAGTTTCCGAAAATAGGGGGTACCTTATTTGGGGTCCTTATAATAAGGATCCTACTATTTAGGGTACTATATTAGGGTCCCCTATTTGCGGAAACTCCCATGTAGCAAGACGCATTTAAAAGGACCAGGCGATTATCGACACCAAAAGGCCAACAGCCCAATGACCGGGATGCCTTTTGCATGCAGCTGCGTGAGACTTACCACAGAGGGCAGAGACTTGAGGCAGAGGAAGAGGAATCCTCGAGCCGAGGAATGTTTCTACTAAGCGTTTTCTGAGTGTGTAACCGTGTAACGCATTACTGTCGGTCGGCTGTGTTTGAAGTTATGAAGCCACTGCCGCATGCGTAAGAGGCCTTGGGGCAGAGTCGTGTTTTTCGGAGCTTGGGCCGAGATATGCAGTGCCAGCTATTACATCAGAAGCCTGCGCCGAGGATTATCTCATATTAGAGATGTTCCGTTTTGCAATCAAGTGCTAGGAGGTGTTTCATGAAAGACAGTGTTGCGCCCTAGATACTACCCGTAAAGTCGAAAACTAGATGGGCATACACACGCACACACACCTTCACTGCGGAAGATGCTAGGTTAGATCCAAATTCCGACGCCCCATGCTCACATTCTGAGTCCTTCATCCTGAAGCCCTGCGAAAGCCCAGAAGTCCCTTCAACTTTCAACCCTAAATCTTAACCCCAAGCTGCCCTGAGCCCTGAATCCATAATTAACCAAAACCCGTTGTGCACCGAAGTCCTGGATCCGAAGTATCCAAAACCGCAAGACCCTGACCCTGACGCTTGCCGCCCATAGAGTCCGTCTAGCATCTCGCCCACGCCGCCCCTAGAATCTTCACGCAACACCATGAAGCTATCAAGCCCAGAACAGCCATTAACGGGGCCGTTAACCCTAAACTACTAAACCCTTAGCAATGGCCGGTGATGGAGCCGAAGAACTCGTCGAGCTTCTTCCACCAGAGTTCACCCGCGAGGTCACCTGGATGAGATCGCAAACTTTGGACCTCTTAATCCCGGCCCCAAACTCTCAACTCCAAACCCCAAAGTCTGACTTATGAGAAGTTTTTGAGTTTGGGGAGTCTTGCAGGGTTCAGAGTCTAGGGTTGAGAGTCAAGAGAAGGTTTCTCAGGTTAACGGGTTCCGTTTCAAGGTCACGGGTGTGTAAGATTTCAGGATTCGGATTCTTTGTTTGGGAGTTTTTTTGTTACGGTGCAAAGAACCGCATACCCAGCGCCGCAAAGCTTGAACCGTATTGTAGGACTATAACCCCAAATAGTAGGTCCATATATATAGAGCCCTAATAAAGACCCAAGGTTTCTGAATCAGGTTCCTACATGTAGGAACCTGATTAAGAAACCCTGGACCTAAAACGCCTAAAAACAGTAGGGTACATGTATAGAACCCGAATAAAGACCCAAGGTTTCTTAATCAGGTTCCTACATTAAGCAAGACTCCCTTTGGAAGTTTCCGAACATGGGGGACCCTAATATAGTACCCTAAATAGTTGGATCCTTATTATAAGGACCCCGAAATAAGGTACCCCCCCCAATTTTCGGAAACTCCCAAACCCTAAACCCTAAACCCTATAGATCCCTTCTTGGAGCCCTTCGAGACGCCTTTAAAGGAGCCCAATTCGCCTTCATTTGGGCATCTGAGCAGGTCGAGCTCGCTGCGTTCCACTGCGCGACGGTGCCCAAGGTGCCAGCGGAGATGGTCGAATTTAGGGGCCTTAATAACTACCTATACTGTTGTGGGGGTTCCTTATTATAGTTATAGGATAATATCCCCCCAAAACCCTAGTCTAATTATTAAGGCACCCTTTTTTAGTCATAGGGACTCTCTTTGGCACTAAGGCTCCCGACTCCCGTCCCCCCTACCGCCATTCCCGGGAAAGAGCAGGGCTCTAGAATTCCTAGGAACCGGAGGAGGCCTGGTCTGGGTTTAGGGTTTAGGGTTTTGGGGATTTAGGGTTTAGGGTCGGGGTTGTGAAGTCCCCAACCTAAAGGCCTAAAAACTCTGCACAGTTGAGATGTTCGACATCTCGATGCAGAGCAGTAGAAGTTGTGGTGATCGCGGTAGCAGGTAGCAGCAACATATAACACCTAGAAGGCGCCCTTCAAACCAATAGTTAGAACCGAAACCCTGAACCTAAACCCTAAACACAAAAAACTAAACCCCAAGCCCTAATCCCTAAACCCTGAACCCTAAGCCGTAAACCTAAATCCCAGCCTCTTGACTTGCTTAACAACAGAATTTCTTCGGGCTCCTTGCTTCCATGATAGCTTGCGCATCTATTCGTTGGGTGTAAGGTTTAGGGCCCCAGGGGTTTTGTGGTTTAGGGCTGAGGCTCTTGGGCTCCGGATTCAGGGCAGAGAACTTTAGATCTAAATTTGATTTCAGAGACCCCGCCCGAGCTTTCAAGCCCTGTGCCCTGGAGCATGCAGCAAGTACTTGGAGGATCATGGGACTTAGTAAGTATGGTTATAAGTACCTTAATAACCGTAATCACTAAGTCCCATGATCCTTTAAGTAGACCTCAAGCAGGCGCTGTGTGGAGAGCTGGTGAAGCTGCACTTCGTCCGGCATGAGAGGTCGAACAGGAGTGGGACGGTAGGTTTCTGGCTTTTGGTTCGAGGCGATTCGTGGCCTGGAACCGAACATGTCGAGGTGAACCACATGTTCAGGGAGTCATGAACCCTTTTGTCTCACATGTCAAGCCCCAAACCCACAAGCGGAGGAGGGCTTCGTGCATTTTCCAGTTTGCAGCATTCGTAAGTTCGGTTCCCCAAAATACAGGCTACGATAGCTTCCAGATACTTAAAGGATCATGGGACTTAGTAATAACGGTTATTATTAAGGTAACTATACTTATAACCCCAATTAAGGTACTTATAACCATACTTACTAAGTCCCATGATCCTGCCAAGTAGACCCTAGACCCTAAACCCTGTAGATCCCTGTAAGGAGCCCTATAGATCCCTTTGAGGAGCCCTTTAAGGAACCTTACTAAGTCCTATGATCCTCCCAGTAGTGTTCTACCCGAGCCAAGGTTGCAGAAAGCGCCGCTTAGCACAGACTCTCGGCAGCGGCTCGGGTGGTAGGGAATTGGCTTTCAAGGATCCGAGCTACTGGTGCTGGTCTGGTTATTCATGATGTAAACGGTGGTGACGAAGAAGATGAGGAGGACGGGGATGATCATGATGATGATCATGACGATCGTGTTTCAACTTGTCACACCATTACTGTTGCCGCTGCTGCTGCTGCTGCTGCTGCTGCTGCTGCTGCTGCTGGTACTACTACGGCGACTGCTGCTCCTACCATTGTTGAACACTGCTCGTATCATGCTGTTCATCGTCGTTATTCTGATTATAGCTGGCGTTCGGTTCCGGACGGTTTTTGGAATCAGGTTCTGTTGTGGGTTGCACTGGCAACGAGGTTTTAGGTTTCTGGGTTCAGGCTTGCATCCGTGAAGCGAAACTGTTTGCCAACATGAAGACTCCGAACGTGAGGGACAATCGACATACAATCGAAGCGTGAGTAATTACCAATACTGTTGCTTGGGGTTCCTTAGTATAGCTCTAGTATACGATAACCCAAAACCTTGTTGTAATCATCTTGGTCCTGACATTCGCAGGAGTATGCTCGCTACTTTCCGTCGACCCTGATGCCCGCGCCAGAGTCCTAACCGCTGTAGGGAGCCAACAAAAGAAAGGGCTCCCTGAGATGTTACTATGTTTTGATATTTCAGAAGGTTCTATAAGAGTCCTTGTAATTCATAAGGCTCTATAAGAGTCTTTGTAATATGGAGGCCGTAATAACTACCTGTACTAATTGGGGGGTTCCTTGTTCTAATTATAGTAGAATGGGCCCCAAACACTCTTCTACTTATGAACGCCCCTACGCTGAATCCTTATAACAGTACCCTTCTAGACCCCCTTTAAAAGGGACCCAAAATTCTCCTTATATAACTATGTTAACACCAGCCTTTTGGACCCTGAACTCCTTAGTCCCAGGAGTTCCAGCACCTCATTCGAGTCAGGTGGGATGTGGGCCTAAACCCTAAACCCTAAACCCTAAACCCTAAACCGGGTCTCTATTGTATTAACCATGGGGGGTCTGAAGCGCTCGTAAGTAGTAGTTAACAAAAACTTCTACTCTGCGTGTGATTGATGTACTTTTTCTGGGCAGCCCCTCAATAGTTAGTCACGATATTCATTTGTAGGCACCGTATACTGAGAACATAGTAATATATCACCCGTTCGCTCCGAGTCCTCATATAATATACATGGTATACCGTTGAGTGTGCGTGTGGGTGTTTTGTCCTCTCATCAGAATACAGGACTCTAAGGAGTAGTACTACAAATCTCGCAGGGCTAGGGGGGAGCGGGTGCGGTCGGGATTCTTGGGTTTGAGGTCGTAGGAGTTTAGGGTTTTAGGGTTCAGGACTCGGAGTTTAGGCTTTAGAATGTAGGATTTGGGGACTCAGTGAATAGAGTTAGGAATGCGGGACTTTCAAGAAATAGGGAACCCTACTACAGTACCCTAAATAGTAGGACCCTTACTATAAGGGTCCCAAAATAAGGTACCCCTATTTTCGGAAACTCCCATATGGGCACTAGGAATGGCGGCTGTCGGCATTGGAGATCTTTGGAACTGCTTAGGGTTTAGGGTTTAGGGTTTAGAGGGATTCAGAGGGTTTAGGGTTTTAGGGTTTAGGGTTTAGGGTTTAGGTTCTCTTGAACTTGTGCTTGTTTGAAACCCTCCATGCTAAACTTGAACCCCAAGAAGTCCCGCTAAGTGCATGGCGTCGTTGACTGAAACCACTTTAGCGTTTCGAGTTTTGGGGTTCAAGATCTAGACTTGTGGGCAGCGTAATTTGTTGGTTCAGGTTTCTTTTGGTTTGGGGTTTGATTGTGGATGTCGAGGGGTTTACGTCGTATGGCTCATCGCGACAGTTCACAGCCACTCACACATCCGGCAAGCTCCGAAAGCTATTGCAATTCGCGTCGAATTGGTGGACCCGGTCCGGCTTGTTCTTAATGACGATCTCGAGTGCGAAAGCGCGAAGATCCTGAAGACCACCTCTAATCGTACGCTAGTAATTCGAAGTGCATGACCCTGCACTCCCGAACCCTCAACGCTGGCCTCAACCCCAGAAGTCTTCAACCGCTTAAGCCCCCCCTGAGTCTGAACGCTTAAGCCCTGAGCCTTAAGCCCATACTCCCAAGTCCTCGGGCGCTGTACTGCTAGCTTGACGCCCTTATAACACCCTTAGAGGAATCCGTACATATTATAGTAACATACAGTCAGTGATCTTTTGAGAACCCTTATAGAAGCCCTTCATAGTTACCCTTATCGTGGCCGTTTAGGAACCCTGAAAGTAATTACTCTTTACATAGCTTGAAGAGAGGAGAATATCCTCGACAGAGCCTTCGCTGTACTGTTCAGGAAGCCCCCGGATGACCCGGAGCAAAGACAGGCCGACGCAGTGTTCAGGGTTCTCAGGTTTTAGGGTAAAAGCCAGAAAGTTGGAATATGATTATCCTAACCCTTCTATGGTAAATTATAGGGTATCCTACCATGAAACCATATTCCAACTTTCTGGAGTTCCGTGTAGGGTTGGGCGATGAGGCTTTAGGGCCTGCAGGGTTTCAGGCGCATTGGGGATCTTAGGGTGCCCGGCACCGAGGCTTTCATGGGAAGATCTTGGATCCCAGGCTGTTTTGTGTTCTGGCTGCGGGAGGAAGGATGAGGTTTGTGTAGTCTAGCAGGTTCATGACTGTGCTTTTTCGGAGGGATGCACAGCAACGAGGCCGAAAGGCAGGGGAAGGACAACAAGATTTGCCCATGCAGTGCCCCGAAACCCTATTCTAAGTATCAAAGTCCCCCTAAACCCTGAACCCTAGACCCCAAAACCCTAAACACCATTAAGTCGTTAATCCTAGAGGGGCTTGAATCTCTCACGCACAGGAGGAGCTGGCCACCACCTCCACACAATCCCAAAGCCGAGATGCGTCTAGGGTTGAAGTTTTACGGCCCCAAATTCGAAGGCCGAAATGCAAAACCCGAGGTTCTTGAAGACCTTGATTCTAAACACAAAACCCCAGACTCCCAAGGCTAAGCCGAAGCCCTAAACCCGAAACAGGCATTCCGGATAACCTCAGGGTAGACGGAGAAGGGGGTTCAAGAAAACAAAACACTCCCCCGAGGTGCTGCTGAGTCTGGCCACCTCGGACTTTGCTCCCTTCGCTGCTCTGGGAGAGCAGCTTGGGCAACATTTGGGGTTTAGGGTTTCGGGTTTAGGCTTAGGGGGGCAGCATTCGGGTTTTTTTGGCTTTGGGTCGGGACGAGGGGTTGGGGTCGTGAGCTGTTTCTTACGGCATGGGGACGTCGTATCTCGACGAAAGGAGCCTCAACTACCGGGCAAGTATCTTTCCTTGCTACCCATGTATGGCTCGGATGGATATCCATGGATGATTGAGTTCATGAGGGAATTCAAGTAATTGAAATGCATTAAGAATGGGCATTAGGGTACACAGCACGAAAGAAATTCATGAATACAAGGTTTCGGGCCTTGTGCTGGGGATGGGAGCGACGCTTTGAGAGAAGTGTTCGCCATTCCTTTGGGTTTGGCGCCGGTTGTTCATGCTTGTGTTCGAGGGTGGTGGCTCTGTATGAAGATTCCTGCAGATGGAAAAGGGGGTTCAAAACAAAAACTACTACCCTAAACCGTAAGCCGTGAAGCCCAATGAACCCTGAGCCGAAAGAGGTTCTGCTCCGCTGCCCAAACGTCGAGGCCCCGCTCCTCAACCTTATACTGCCCTAATAATAATAAGAATAATACTAATACTAATACTAATACTAATACTAATACCAATACTAATACTAATACTAATACCAATACTAATACTAATACTAATACCAATACTAAAACCAATACTAATACTAATACTAATACTAATACTAAAACTAATAAGTATAATAACAATAACAATAATACTAACAATAATCGCCCTTAAAATAATTGACAGGGTTTTGGGTGTGTGCTGTGGGTATACCTATGTTAAGGAACCGGAAGGCATAGTGTTGGTAACTCTTCAGGCTTCTATTACCAATTTCGAAGCCTCTACCCTGCACCCTAAGCTTTTTACCACGGGCCCTGGGGCGCAAGCCAAAACCTTCGTCGTTCTGCCCTAGACCCTGAGCCCTAAATCCCTAAAGCCCCAATCCCCTCTGAAGTCCTAAGCGCTGACACCTGCAGATCCTAGACCCATAAATCCCTCACACCTAAGCCGCTAGGAGCCCAAGCCCTATAGCGTAAAGTCGGTGGGAGGTGGTTCGGAGCGGTGCTGAGGTTCCTTCAGAAACACGAAGCACCCGTCGCCGCTTGACCAAAACGTGAACGACGGACGATTACCGATTCAGTCTCGGGCCAGAGGTTTAGGTTCTGAGGCCTTTGGGGTTTAAGGGTTTACAGTTCAGAGAGGTCAGAGGTTTAGCTTCTGAGGCCTGTAGGGTTTAAGGGTTTACATTTCAGGGAAGAATGGTGGTCTTGGGGTTGCGGATTTTGGTTGTCCACTTTTGTGATCCGGCAGCCCAAGTAAGAGCTGGAGAGTGCTCCTTGCGTGGCGACTGGCTCGACCGCTTCGAGCTTGTGTGAGAAGAGTTGCAAGCGGCCCTAAACCCTATACCCTAAACCCCTAAAACCTAAACCCCTATTTCCTAAACCCTAAACCCCTAAATCCTAAACCCTAAACCCCCAAACCCTAAACCCGGGTTCTTATTGAAGTGACGGTCTGATTCGTCTGGCCTAAATTGGGTACGGCCCCCACTCAGTAATAGTTGAATAATATTCATGATTCATAATATGGAATTAGGTCCTTAATATTAGCCTTATTATAGACTCGTACTCTATGGGGGCCGTACCTAAGGTCTAAACCGTGCTGTTTTTCTTGTGTTTCCAGCAGGCATCCCTTTGTGTGTGCCCCGAGGAGACGGTCCATGTTCCGCGCCACGGCGCCCTAACACCGACGCAGCTTCAGAGTTTCTCAAGGCCAGATGCGATTCTGAGTGTGGCTGCTACAGTATGATCCGACTCCAGATTCCTACTATACTCGGTTTAGGGTTTAGGGTTTAGGTACTATAGTAACTATAATACTAACTGTTCTAAGTTGCTAAACTATTGTCTGAATAGGAACCCGCGCCCCGAGGAGCCCCTCATGCTTCCGGTTTGTTATGTAGGAACCTGATTAAGAAACCCTGGGTCCTTATTCGGGTTCCTTATATGAATCCTAAGATAGTGGGGGTTATAGGGTTAGGGTTTCTTAATCAGGTTCCCACATCATCTCTCAAGTCTCCCGGCGGAAATCTCTGGGCTTCTGGATTGAGGGTCTGGCCTCAATACGGCAGAAGCCTGAATAATTGCCAATGTTATTCCTTAAGGTTCCTCATTATAAAGTATACTATAAAGGAGCCCCAAACCCTATTCTAACGATTTCGGCCCCTATATTCACGAAAAGCGACGCATTAACACGTCGGTGCAAGCATGCAGTCTTACAAAGTGTTGCTTCTAGATATACAGTTCCTTACGTGTCGCATGCTGCCCAAACCCCAAAGGCTACGCACCCCTAACCCACCACCACCACCACCCACCACCACCACCACCACCACCACCACCACCACCCACCACCACCCACCACCACCCACCACCACCACCACCACCACCACCACCACCACCACCACCACCACCACCACCACCACCACCACCACCACCACCACCACCACCACCACCACCACCACCACCACCACCACCACCACCACCACCACCACCACCACCAAAAATCCTGAAAGCTGAAGCGCCTACACCTTAGACCCTTCAACCCCCAACGCCCCTAATCCCTTATGTATCCCCCAAACATCTCAGTTCGCGTTGCAGGCATTGGCCCATTAAGAACCTGAAGTCGTCGTTTGAGCCGCTGAAGCTCTCAGAGGAGGGGACCTCAGAGGGTTCCCTTGCTTACTTCCTATGGGCTCATTGATAAGGGCTTTAGGGTTAATAGAGCAGAGGGGTTTGAATAATTCCCCAATCTTGTTTTTGGTGGTTCCTTGTCATCATTATAGTATAACGGGCCCCGAAACCCTGTTCTAATTATCAAGGCCCCTTTATTGTTTTTTTAGGGGCTATCGGGGCGTTTGTACTCAAAAGTGGCTGTGGGACATTGTACAATAGGTATGTACGGACTATAAGGGGATAGTATTATCGATCCGCCTGTATTGCGCCATTGGGGTGTTTGATCTTTTCCGTTCTTCGGGCTTAGGGGATCCTATTCAAGACAGTCCTCTCTTCTTTCTGTCCAGCCTGGATTTCTCTTTGTCTTGTGATAATCCTTTCATGTCTAAGCTGCTGTTAGTTTTGCTTCTGGTATCCATACAAGTTCGTCTACTAGTAGTAGTAGTAGTAGTAGCAGTAGTAGTAGCAGTAGTAGTAGTAGTAGTAGTAGTAGTAGTGGTAGTCGTAGTACTACTACTACTACTTCTTACTACTACTACTACTACTACTACTACTACTACTACTACTGCTACTGCTACTGCTACTGCTACTACTGCTACTGCTACTACTACTACTACTACTACTACTACTACTACTACTACTTCTTACTACTACTACTACTACTACTACTACTACTACTACCACTACCACTACCACTACCACTACCACTACCACTACCACTACCACTACCACTACCACACACTACCACTACCACTACCACTACCACTACACTACCACTACCACTACCACTACCACTACCACTACCACTACCACTACCACTACCACTACCACTACCACTACCACTACCACTACCACTGCCACTGCCACTGCCACTACCACTACCACTAGTACTAGTACTAGTACTAGTACTAGTACTAGTACTAGTACTAGTACTAGTACTAGTACTACTACTACCACTACTACTACTACTACTACTACTACTACTCCTGCTGCTGCTACTACTACTACTACTACTACTACTACTCCTGCTGCTGCTCCTACTACTACCCCTTTCCTTCTGCTGCTCCTGCCTCCACCAGCACACTTATTGCTGTTCTGGTTACTTGATCTCAGTTGTGACTATTGGTGACTCTGGGACGAAGCTTGGGGGTTTCAAACCTTGAAGACCCCGAAACCCTAAAGCCGTAAACCAACTTGAGCATCTTCAGGCTGTCAGAATGGACCGGGTAGACAGATCTGGGTAATTCTTCGTAAGCTGGACACTTCTTGGGGTGTTTAAAGATGCGCTCGTCGATATGGGTTTAAGCTTGCATGCTGTGTTCCTCATATAAGTAGCCACTAGTGCTTCTCGGGACCATTTCTAGTGGTAGCCAAAACCCTGATGCGGGGGCCCAGACGGAAATCTCCCAGGCACTCGTGCATGTATGCATGTATGCTAGCAAGCATGGTCATAACGTCGTGTGGCGAAGATAGAAGCCTGAGTACGTACCCACATTCTTCCTTAAAGTTCTTTAGTTTAACGACTAATTACTAATACTCTTCCTCTGGATAATGCATTCCCGAAATCTATTCTCATTACGGTTGCTCCACATTAAAGCTCTGCAGGCTTGCAAACCCGGAAGGCCTAAGCCCATAAAACCCGAAACACTAAAGACTGATGCCAACAAACAGGACCTCCGGAAGGCCTATGGCGAGCTGCTGCGCCAAGCTGAGGACCAATTTTCTCAGAAACTCCTTACTTTTTGATGTTTTTTTTTTTGAATTCCGGCTTTGGGGTTTCGGTTCAAGCTTTGAGCATTTAGACTTGAGGGGTTTTAGAGGTTTTTGAGGTTTTGAGTCGAACCCTGCACCACAAAGACCCCAGGGGCCGCATCGCACCTGAAGGAAGTGGCCGGAGGAGGCTCCGGCTGCGTCATCGCACGTCGAAAGGAAGGACGCCAGGCCTTTGGCTCGGATGGTTTTTGTGTTTGGTGTTTAGGGTTGAGGGTAAAACCCTAAACCACGGTTTTGGGCTTTGGGGTTCAGGGTTTAGGGCCGCAGTTATGGGGCTTAGGTACTCTTTTTGAGTTTCTGGGGTTCTGTGTTCAGGGTTTGGGGTTTTGGGTGTACTTGGAGGCCCCAGGGACTTAGTAAGTAGGTTACAAATAGGGTCATAAGTATTCATGAGTACCTTAAATGCCCTAAATCCTAACGCTTACAAGACCATGAAACGCCCTTCAGGCGGAGTTCGAGGTACTCGCTGCCGCAAAGTCCGCGGTCAGCGAAGCCGAGCCACTGAGGCCCCGATTCCAGGATCTAGGGTTGAGGGTGTAGGATTATGGGTTTAGGGTTGAGGGTGTAGGATTATGGATTTAGGGTTGAGGGTGTGTCGGATTATGGGTTTAGGGTTGAGGGTGTAGGATTTCGGGTGTAGGGCCTGGGTTGAGGGTGCAGGAAATTGGGATTATGGGTTTAGGTTGGATTTTACGGTTTCGGGTTTTGGGCGTAGGGTTTGGCAAACCGTTGACGGTAGGATTAAAATAGTTCCACAACCCGTTTACGGTCAGGGTTCTTGTTAATTTGAACTGAAATTTATAGACATTTCGCAGTGTGAGTGGGTGGCCAGCCGGGATTTCCGGCGCTTGTCTCCACTTGCCTTCCTTTGTTTTGGATTGACGGCGGGTGGCCTAACAAAGTTGACACTGAGGAAAGTCAAAGACAGAGAGGAGCGGCAACGCAGTCAAAAGGGGAATCCACAAAAGAGCGAGGTTAAGCATGCTAAGCAACTGCGCCGGCAGGAGAATTTCCGCACGAGGAGTAAAACCAGCTGAAAGGGACTGAGGAATACTTAAAATGAGAAGCAGAAGCACGCCGCCCAACAGAGACTCCACAGTTGACAAACAGGAGAATTCGACAAAGAGTTGAAAGAAGAGCAGACCAGTCGAACAGAATCTGAGAAACTGGAGCAAGATCGCCCCAAGCAGACGAGAAAGTTTAACGAGGAGGATAACTTGAAAACGGGGAGCAAAGCAACAGTAGAAATTTGGGAAGCCGGAGCAGACCGCCCAAAAGAAACTGACCAAAAGGAGACTGTCGTAAAGAGGAGCACAGCCGCGGCAAGGATTCGCTGAATTGGCAAACGGTTTAGGGTTTAGGGTCCTAAACCCTAAACCCTAAACCGTGCGCTCGAAAGAGACTGGACAGCTTAACCCAAAGCGAGAAATAGAAGCGAGGAGCAAGCCGGTCGGAGGGGACTAAACTAGGTTGGATTTTGGGACATTTTTATTTTCCTTATTTGGGTTTATAAGGGACCCTATATATAAGTATTTTTCAGGATGTTTACAGGCCAACCCAGAAAACTTTTGAGACACATGATCCACTCGCTCCAAAGAGATTAGAGCATTTGACAACCGGACGGTTTAAGAAAAACGATCGCAACAACCGAAACAGCGTTGGAATTTTGAGAAGCAGGAGCAAACAGCCCGAAAGAAGCAAGAAACTTTGACAGCAGAAGTTGGCAAATAGGAGCAAGCCGCTCGCAAGAGGCTTGATAATTTGACGAGTAGAAGAATTTGAGAGACAGGAGCAAGCCAGTCAAGCGAGGGAAGAAATTTAGCAGGAAGCAATAAACCGGTCGAAAGAAACTAGGGACCTTGTGAGAAACTGGAAATATTGAAGAAGGCCGCGGCTGCAGACTCCTGAGGAGCTTCCAACTCCTCTTCCCAACCCTAGACCTTAAGCCAAGTCATAGGAGATATCCTGAGCAGAAAAGGGCCGATAAACACAAATCAGATCATATATCTAGACTTTGGGAACGTATAGAAACCCTATAACCTCAGGCACGCCGCCATGGAAGCCATCAGTGCCATAGCGGTTAGGGCGAAGGCCGCGGCGGACGCGCAAAAGCGCCCAAGGGAGGAGGAGGAGTGCCCCGATTTGACAAGAATGTTCGAGTTTTCGTCAGTGGTTCTACTGGGCTTTCAAAGGCTTTACAAGGGTTTAGAAAACTGTGAAGGGTCCGGCTCTCAGAAACCCTCGAAATGGCTGGGGTTTATGGCAAAGGCAAGAAGACGAAGACCCGACTCGTCCGGAAGCTTACAGTATCATGAATGATGGGCACATATCTTAGTGATGTGTAGTTGTCCGCTCGTCCTTGAGGCACCCGGAAAATCTCAGTTTGGTCCCTGGGCTCTTAGCTTCACACTTCAAACTGAGGAAGATTTCGGTTCCAAGAGAGATGCTAGGCCACAACATGGTATACGAGGCAGTGGGGTATGAATCGGTTGGACTTATGAGAGGTTCTTCATCGTGCACATCTCAACAATTTGGTGTTGCTGGCAGGTACTTGTGCTGCGATTGCGATGTCGTTCTTACACACGAGCCCTGCGTCATGTGCGCCATGGCGCTGGTGCACTCGCGTGTGCGTCTAGTTGCATTTCGCGAAGTTGATTCCGATTTCGGCGGCCTGGGTGGGACGATCTCGCTTCACCAGTGCCCAAGCCTGAATCATCAATTTCGTGTACTGCGATGGCAAAAAAGTTTGAACCACGCAGTGCTCGGCGGGCTAATTAGTGCGTGTTCGTAGGTGCTCGGAGCATCGACCACCTTGCAGCTGACTTCGGAGCCGCTTCTAGCATCACTGGTGCAGTGTAGGTGCAGATCCATGAAACATATCCCAAACGCTGAACTGTACTGTACCTCAAGCTTTCGCAAAGGCTGGGCAGCCGGCGCAGACCGAGCGAGCGGCTCTCAACTTTATACATCTGAGCTACCCTAGATCTACCAAATCTTAAACTTGAAACCCCGAGCTGGGTATTCGTAGAATGAAATGTTGTATGGTATCAGCCGGAGCCACACAAGAAAAACGGACCATGTAGCCTGGTATAGGTATGGTACCGTAATATCATCATATCCCCCCAAAGTTCTTTTTTTCAAACAAGTAGTAAGTTTACTGAGGAGAATGAAGGACCCCTATAACCTCGGGGGGGCCGCAAGGGAGCACCTGGATTCTCAAGCCATGGACGTTGTGCTCCTGTAGAGTCGAACTCGAGCCATGTCGGATGCAGGCTCGGGCTTTCTTTGGGCTGTTTAGGGGATTTCGGGCTTTAGGGTTTAGGATTTAGGGATTTAGGGTTTAGGATTTAAGGTTTAGGATTTCGGGTTTGGGTTTAGGATTTACGGTTTAGGATTTAGGGTTGAGGGTTTAGGGTTTAGGGCTTTCTTTGCTTACCTTTGCGATACCTCCCTGGTTCTTAGCAAGGAATGGGGGCATGTAAGGGGACATCATCCCATTCCCAGTTAACAAACCTGGGGGAAAAGTAGGGAATGGAGGAATGGGGTGCAATTATAACTACTATTACTACCATTCTTCCATTCCCTACTAACCAAAGGTAAGAAAAGCCCAAAACTCGAAGCTCTCAATCCTTCCACCCTCGACCCCACACTCCTTATGCTCACAGTTCTGCAGCCCCAATCCCTGGGCCCACCTTGGCACTTGCAGCGCTATCTCTTTGAGCTCTGGGTCTCCACCCGAGTTTTTCTTCAGAACATCTTCCGTCGTAACAAAATTGAGCCGAGTTTGAGATGCCTGTATCATAGCGACTCCTCGTTGCATACTTGGAGGATCATGGGAATTAGTAAGTATGGTTATAAGTACCTTAATTGGGGTTATAAGTATAGTTACCTTAATAATAACCGTAATTACTAAGTCCCATGATCCTTTAAGTAACCCACAAAACTCATATATACAACCCTTACTATAGATCCCTTAAAGGAGCTCTTTAAGGGAGCCCTAGTTACTAAAGTCCCTTGATCCTTTAAGTACTCGGAAGTCGATGGAGCGCCGAAAGGAATTCCGAGCGCCCGTAGAGGCGAAAGATCCGATGACCCGAAGCTGCCTGGGATGAACCCTAAACCCTAAACTGCAGGTTTAGTGTATGCCGCTTTCTGGGCAAGCGCGCTTTGGAGAAAGGAGCGTCATTGCACTTAAAAATAACCCTAAACGCTAACCCTAAGCACCTGAACCCCGAAAGCTGTGAAGAAGCTTGGAAACATATGAGCAAGAGCAAGAAGAATCTCCATGTCCAAAAAAAGGATTCAGTTACCCAATACCAACCCTTTAAAATTTTGGGCTCTCCCATAGTTTATTCGTACTCGGAAAGTTTAACATTTTCTTTCTTTGGCTTCTTGGGGAAGTGAGATGAAAGAGGCTTCGGCCTGCTTGGAGGTCCATGGGTAGTTATAAGTGGGGTTAGAAGTACCTTAAGCCGGAACAACCTACCCTTTTAGGGTTCCTTATTATGATTTCCTTATATAAGTCCTTAAAAAGGTAGGCTATTCCGGCTTAAGGTAGTGTAAGTATACTTATAAGCCATATTAGGGGACTTATAGCCCCACTTATAACTACCCATGAACCTCCAAGTAGGCCCTAAACCCTATACCCTCATAGGATCCCTGTAGATCCCTTTAAAGGGGCCCTTCAAGGAACCCTTACAACTACCCATGAACCTCCTAGTGGGAGGCTTGAAGTTCTCCTGGGGCAAGAAGGCCGCGGTGACAGCGGTCCCGAAACCGGCGAGGTGGGTTACAGCCGGTAAGGGTCTTTCAGCGTTTTTTTGAAGAATTTCTACTTTAGGGGCTCCTTTGAGGGTCCCTTCAGGGAAGGAGGGTTTCGAGGTTGGGGCCGAGTTTTCGAACGGAGTGGTGTTGGAGCGGGTTAGGTGCGCGTGGTTTGCATTTTGTTCTTAGGGGGCGGGGTTGGGATAGAGGTTAGGGCTTTGGATTTTGCCGACTGGCGGTTTTGTCAAGGGGTCTTCTCTTAAGGAAAGTCCCCCATATTATGCAGGGAGGCTTAACGTAAGGTGTCGCGGACAGTTTGGGGGCTTGAGCAACTGGGATACTCCTTGTAGTAAGTTCTTGAGGTTGTACTGAATCGGATTGAACCTCTTACATACGCGTCGGCTTCACATCTGGAGCACAACCCTACGCCCTGAACCCTGTGTCTCATACCAATAAAAGCCATGACAAGCAATAACTCCCTTAGCGGACACCTCAAACACCGCTGGCCACACACCTTCTGCCTGCAAAAAATCGAGTGACAAGTTTTCGTTGTCTTATGTTTCAGGGTTTAGGGAATTCCACAACAGATTCAATCCTCAAGCCCCCAAGCTGGTCGATCCCCCGACGTTTGTCCAATCTGATTCGCGACGAAGTAATCCGCATCAGGGCATTCATGCATCGGAATGTTGTAGCCATGGAACCAGGCTCCCTCAGTTTCACATCCTAATCCACAGTGCGCAGCAGAAACCTCAAGCCCTACATACACCCCAGCCGCTAGCCTAAGCCTCAGACCCGAAACCCTTGAAAACTTGAAGCCCTGAAGCCCGAATCCCGAACAAGTCTCTGAAGCCCTAAACCCCAAAACCGCACAGCCCTGAATCCCCAAACCCTAGGAGCTACATCAAGCCTTCAAGCCCCAGACTCACAACCCTTGTAGTAACCTTTGTTATCACCCTTCCACAAACTTTATACAACCCTCATAGAGTCCTTGTAAAGCCCTAAGCCCCAAACTCTGGGAAGCAACAGAAGACAGAAGCCTGAACGATTACCATCAGTAATTACATCATTGTATTGTGCAGATACAGTACAAGACAACCCTAAATCCGAAACAGTGTTGGAAGTATTAAGCTATTCAGACTAAAGCCAGGCCAGGGAGCACTGGGATGACCATCGCCCAGGCCAGGCCCGCGCGTTTTTTTGTTGGGATTTGCTTGATTTGAAAGGGTTCTTCTGTGGTTTAAAGAGGAGTTTGGTGGGATGACACGGGTTCTTCTAGGGGCTTAAATGGAGGTTTTACGATTCCCAGAGGAACTGTCTTAGGAGGTGATTTTTTTTGGTAGGGGTGTAATGAGAGCTTTTGGGAGTTACAGGAGCTTTCGATCGGGGGCTCTTGAATTCATGGGTTCCTCGTTGGTGTAGCTTTTCAGACCGACTTCGAAGATTCAACGACTCCATGAAGACTGGCGAAAATTCTTTACAAACATCTACAAGCCTTAAGAGGATTTCGTGACATCCATATACTGATTTAGAGAAAGTCGGAACATGGACCAGGGTTGATGAGTGGTGGGACCCTGTACACTGTACGGGCATGAGACTCAAGATGTTCGAACTTTCCCACGAACCCACAAAGCCACACAAGCCACATAAACCCACAAACCCATAAACACAAACCCACAAGCCACAAACCCATTAACCCATCAACCCATAAACCCCCATAAACCCATAAACCCTAAACCTCTAAACCGAAAGCCCCTAGACCCAAAGCCTACATCCTAGCTGCCCCGAGAATTTGACAGGAGGCGGCCGTGAACCAAGGAGATCTCAAGCCGACCACGCCCGAAGAAGAGGCCGGTCTGCTCTTGGCCTTGGATTTTAGGGAATGGAAGAATGGTACCCATTCCTCCATTCCCTACTAACCAACGGTAAGTGGAGGGTTTAGGGGGTTTAGGGCTTTAGGGTTTAGGATTTAGGGTTTAGGGTTTAGGGTTCAGGGTTTAGTAGGGTTTCGGGTTTAGGCGAGTTTAGGGTGGAGGGTTTAGGGTCGAGAGTTTAGGGTTTAGTTAGGGGTTGTAGGGCTTTGGGGTTTAGGGTTTGTTCAGGATTTAGGGTTTAGGGTTTGGGTTTAGGGTTTAGGGTTCAGGGTTTGGTAGGGTTTAGGGTTTAGGCGGGTTTAGGGTGGAGGGTTTAGGGTCGAGAGTTTAGGGTTTAGTTAGGGGTTGTAGGGCTTTGGGTTTAGGGTTTGTTTAGGATTTAGGGTTTAGTATGTAGGGTTTGGGTTTTAGGGTTTAGGGTTCAGGGTTTAGTCGTAGGGTTTAGGGTTTAGGCGGGTTTAGGGTGGAGGGTTTAGGGTCGAGGGTTTGGGGTTTAGTTAGGGGTTGTAGGGCTTTAGGGTACTTGAGAGTTTTAGGGCTTTAGGGTACTTTAAGGCTAAGGTACTTTAGGGGTTTAGAGTTTCGGCTTTAAGGGTTGTCGGGTTTTTAGGGTTTCGGGTTGCGGTTCAGGGTTTGAGGGTGTTAGAGGCGTGGTACAATTAGAAAGGTTGCATCGCACCGAAGCCCCAAACGCGTGAACCCTTCAAGCCCTAAACCCTAAACCGCTCTATTCCTTGCTGAACTCCTTTTAGGCTTCTCCTCTTCGCAGACATGTATACACATTGCTCTAGAGCATGAAACTTTAAAAGTCCTTCACCAAAACCCAGAAGCCAAGACCTTTTTGAGAACCCTTGTTCTGACCCTTATAGAGCTCTTATCTAGAACTCTTATAGAACCCTGTATTCGGACTCTTGTAGAACCCTTGTTCAGAACTCTTACAGGCCCAGAGAGCCCAATACCCCTTAATTAAGGATTTTAGCTTAACTCATAATATCAAGCCCTTTCTAATTCAAGCCATATTCCTGTAATTAAGGGGTCTTGGGCTCTCTGGGGAGCCCCCTGTACTTGGAGGATCATGGGGCTTAGCAAATATGGATAAAAGTACCTCAATTGGGGTTATAAGTGTAGTGACCTTAACAATTACCGCAATTCCTAAGTCCCATGATCCTCTAAGTCGGGGCTCTAGGACTCTAAACCCTAAACCTTAAACCGCCTCTACCAAAACCCAAAGGCTCCTTCTCGGCCTCCGTGCCAGGAGAAGCGCCGGAAGCGCCTTGAGGCCTGGAAGAAGCTGCAGGCCGAGAACCCGGAGGCAGGTAGAGAAATGCGGGGTGGGGGTCCTTTTAGGGTTTTAGGGTTTAGGAGTTTAGGACTTAAGGTTCTGGGGGGTCTAGAAGTCTCCCGGAGTTTCAGGATTTTGAGTAATAAAGCTCTACACCCCTAAGCCCAGCCTGCGAACCCCAGAACCACAATCATGGACCAAAACCTTGAAAAGCCCCAAACCCAGGACACGCAACCCCGAAACCCTAGAAACCCCAAAGCTTTAAACCCCAAAGCCTTAAACATCCCTCATCTCAGAACTCACCCTAAACTCTAAACCCCAAACTCATCCTAAACCAATACCCTAAACAACCTCTAAACCCCTAAACCCTTAAATGCCCAAGCGCCCAAACTCGTCCTGAACCCTAAACCCTAAACCCCTAAACCTAAGCCCCAGACTCACCCTAAACCTCTAAACCGCGAAACCTCTAAACCGCTAAACCCCTAAACCACAAAGCCTCTAAACCCTAATCCCCTATTTATTATCCCCATAAACCCCTAAACCCCCCTAAGCCCTAAACCTAAGCCCCAAACCCATCCTAAACCCTAAACCCTAAACCGTCTCACCCTTCGGCCTGGATGGAGGCCGGCACGCGGGCCGAGGACGAGCCGAACCAGAAGATGGCTCAGGTTAGGGCGGCGCTGAAGGACGCGGTCGTCAGGAACCCCCCCGAAAGGCACATGCTTATTGGTATGATCATGATTAGAGGTAGTTTTATGACATTTTATGATTATTCCTGTGATTATGAGTGTTAGATATGAATGTTTGAATTATGGTTATGGTTAGCATGTGGCATTTAGAATATTCAGAATTCATTCCACCTAACGGAAATCAGCCTTGAACGTGTACGGTGTTTAGCAGCAGATATTACCTTCCAAATGCGAGGCTTCTACCTCCAAGATAGGACATTACCTTCAGCTTTGTGTGTTGGGGTTTGGGTATGCCGCCTTGGAGTCATGGGTTTAGGGTTGAGGGGTTTAGGGTTTAGGGGTTTAGGGTTTACGTTTTCCTGCCTTCCATGGGACTTGGTGCATTGGGTTTGGGCTTTGGAGTTTGCGACTTCAGGCTGCAAGGTAGGGGCACTGAATACTCGGCAACCGGTACCGTTCCTTGGAGTTGGAGTTCTTCAATATCCCGAAGGCTTGTTCTATCTATTGAGGCCCTTATTAGTAGCGGCGGCCTCGGATCAGCCTGCCTGTAGCGAGGAGGTAAACAAGAGGAACCGGGACCTCGGCGTGCGCAAGAGCAAGAAGAAGAGGAAGCGATCCTCCAGCTCCAGCGACGACGTGATGATCACCTCCACTGACAATGCCGATGTCATCATCACTCAGGCGCCCGATCCGCGAACCCAAGCCCTAGAGTCCTGGAGCCCCTACTTAAAGGGTCATGGGACTTAGTCAGTAATTACGGTTATTATGAAGGTAACTATACTTATAGCCCCTATTAATGGTACTTATAACAATACTTACTAAGTCCCATGATCCTCCAAGCAGAGCCCTCGAACAGCCCATCCCATCCTCAACCAGAGGCTGACGCGAAGCCGCGTGGGGGCCGTGGTCAGGCTTCAGGAGCCCCTGCGGCTGGGGGTCTCATTGATCTGGACGATGAAGGGCCGGTCGACTCCGAGGCACCGAGAGAGATCATAACAGCAAGAAGAGCTAGGGCGAGGGCGACTTCGACCAAGTGGTGACATTAGTAGTCTCGGTTTTCCTCAGGCAGAACAGAGTGGACATACAGTTACGTGCATCAGCCGCAGCGATTAGTTGTATTCATACTCTTTTAGTCTTCTTCTTCTTCTTCTTCACCATCAGCATCATCGCAAGCATCAGAGTAAGGTACCCTGAAGCATTCGGAGTATCGTAGCTTGACTCACGACACCAGCAGTGAAAGCTCCAGAGGCCAAGGAGTCGGAGCCCAAGGAGCCCAAAGAGGCCAAGGAGCCCAAGGAGGCCGAGAAGGCCGCGGAGGAGGCCGCGGAGGAGGGAGAAGGTCTGACTTTCCTTTGATCTCCGGGCGGCCGCCGGGTGTGGTGGAAGAGGCGAAGAGGTGGGCCCATACTTCTGAAAAGCTCTGGGCAACTAGCGGGATCTGTGTGAGAGGAGCCTTGAAGGGACCCGTGATGTAGAAGATTTCGCATAGCCCCCAGGTGGCAGAGGACATGGCTGGAACCTGTATGGTGAGAAGACTTGCCGAGTCAGGGCAAAGGCCTGCGAGATCGTGAACCTGAGCGTGGCCATTGCAGGTGCTGTTCTGTGCTAGATTGACTTTCCCCGCCGTTCCTGATCTACAAGCTGCTTGTGTCCATGGTCCAGGATCCAGCTGTCGCGGGGTGTCCGGAGTAAAAGATGTGCAGAAGCAGCGGGCAGACCCGGTATCGACCATCGGCTGCTGCACCAGACTTCGTCTCATGAGAGTGTCAGTTCGCAGCTGTCGTTACACCTGGATGTTTGGCAGGCTATGGTCCTCGAATAGTGCAGCCCCACAAAAAGCAAGCCCTATCACATCTTGGAGGCCCGAAACCCTGCAGCCCTTACCACCCGCAATTTTCTCCCACCCGAGTGAAAACCCTACTGTAGGGGCCTCGATAATTGCCTATTTTTGGGGTTTCTTATTATGATTAAAGTCTAATGGGCCCCAAAACCCTATTCTAATCATTAAGGCGCCTACATTAAACCTGCAAGTCCGAGTCCCTGGGCCCTTTCGGTCCCAAAGTGATGGAACCCGGCTCCTCGGATGGCGAGGCGAGGCATTGGGTTGCTGCTTTCAGGGGGAAGCGGATTTCCAAGCCGTTAGGGGTTTACTTCAGGGATCATGGGACTTAGTAATTACGGTTAGTATCAAGGTTATCAAGGTAACTATACTTATAACCCCAATTAAGGTACTTATAACCATAAATACTACTAAGTCCTATGATCCTCCAAGTAGGGTTTGCAGCAGAGTGTTGCTGGTCTTGAGTTTCAACCTACGTCGAAATCCACGTAATCTAGGCGACCCGAATCCCAAAACTGAAAAACCTAGACATTCGGGGTAGCCGGATTCTGCGAGGTTAGGGTTTAGGGTTTAGTCTGCAAGGCAGAGTTTTGTGTGAGGGGTTCCCTGGAATGCACAGCGCGCCTAAGACTTTCGGTAGGCCGGTTTGAGCATCCGAGCAAACTTCATGTAGTTAACATGCGAGGTATCGGTTTGAAGTAATTTTAAGCGTCCCTTATTGTGAAATATAGGGCCCTAATTATAAATTGTTTTGGAGACTGTGGAAATCGACACCTGGTATAGGGTTCGGAAAAACTAGTACTACAAGCAATATCACCTTATGGCGCCTATATGATTGCACAATATACCTCGTAAAAACGAAACTGGCATAGCTATCAATGATATTCGTTAGGGCTCCTTATCCAAACGCTGTTCTAACTGTTCAAGCCCGTATAGTCGGAAGGTGCCTGAAAAGGGGCCTTCTCGGAGACCAGGCCATTACCCAGAGGCCCCATAGTAGTTCCTTTGTGGGATTACCTTTTCGGGTTCCTTATATGAACCCCAAAAAGGAACTACTTTGGGGCCTTTGGGTAAATCTCGATCATAAGCTGCAACCAGCTTCTTGATCTGATAAAACAAGTCCTGCAGTAGCTTAACATAGCATGGCCGACTCGAAGGGGTTGACTTAAACTCCAAGCCCTCAACGCCGAACCCCACATGTGTTTGCAGCAGCGCATGAAGCTCTCAGAATCGGGAAAGGGTCTGGAGTTCAGGGTTTAGGTGTTGGAGTTTACGGTGTAGGATCCAGAATTCATGGCTAAAAGCTTTGGAGTTCAGGTTATGGGGCTTTCAGTTCAGGGTTTACGGCTCACAGTGCAAGGTTGTTGGTTTTCAGTGCTAGCACCTCCTGACTGCAGCAATGCGGGCCTCCGTGATAGCAGGGCCTCCGGCGCCCTGCCGCGGTCCCCCGCAAGTATTGCGCCCGCCGCCTGGCAGGTGGGATGGCGTTCAACCCCATAGACCCTCAACACCGAAACCGCGAAAAGTCAGAAAAGGTTTCGCCGGTCCAGGAACTGCTGCAGGTCTGCTGCGTTGTCTTCTTGCTCGTCGCTGCTGCTGTACCTCGATCGTTAGCAGTCGATTGTGATGCTTCGACCGACGACGGACGCCGGAGCGACGACGACGACGACAGCTCGGGAAGTTGGTTTGAATTAAGTTAACGTTGTACATTTGTACATTATCTTTTAAATTGTACGTGTATCTGTGTTAGTATCTGTGTTATCGGATCGACTATAGACAGACAGAGGTATTTGATACGAGAGGCTGCCGTGATTTTGTCAGTATGAATTCGACAGGTCGCGAAGCCACTCCTAGAATCGCTGAGAAGCCTTCTGAGAAGCCCTCATCCCAAAACCCTACAGCTGAAGCTTAAACCAGAGGAAATGCAACAGCCTCCACCCTGAAGCAAACACCCCAGTTGGAGGATCATGGGACGTAGAAACTAGGGTTATAATTAATTAAGGTAATTATACTTATCATTACATATATCCCCACTTAGGGTACTTATAACCATACTTACTAAGTCACATGATCCTCCGAGCAACCGGCCCCCATCTCCAAGCCAGGAGGTCCTTTCCTCGGCGCCCCTCGGCGGCTGTCTTCGGCGCTGCACTGGGCGTACCCACTACGGCCCTACGAAAATCGACACTTTGCATGATGTGGGTTGCCACTTCGGGGCGAAGGGTGGTATTGTAGTTTTCGGAGGATTCAGAGAGTCTGAAGGTCAAGACGGTGGCAGGATTTGTTTTTTTTTCAGTCGGGGTCTCACGGACTGGTAGTAAGGGGTTTGATCGGCAAGGTGCGAAAGGCAGTGAAAGACTCGCAACTAAGCTTCATGCAAAGACCGACACTTGAAGAAGCAAGTCCAGCGAGTTGCTGATTACAGGGCCATAAACCCTACGAAAAGCTAAGCGCGTCAGAAGGGCGTGTTGAAGATGCCATTATTTGGATTTGCCCCGGAGGTTTAGGTTTCGGCATTGCAAGGCGGAGGTTCTGTGGTTTATAGGGTTAAACTATGACAGTCATGACAATTTATCTTGTCGGCTTAAATGGGGAAGCTTCCTGTGTTCAAGGGAAACGGAAGACAGGGCAGATACTAAAGTGTACTTTGTAGGAGCCCCCTTAAGGCCTGTTCAGAACTCCCAGGGGCCAGTCGAAGAATGTCTCTGCGGAGGCTTCCCGGAAGGAGCTTCATGTCGAAACGATAAAAAAGGAAGGACGGTAATGGTAGTTATACTCGTAACCGAGGTTTAGTGATAGAAATCAATAACTAAAGCAGTATACTAGTAAGACCATATGTGTTCTGCGAACTTTTTTCACATCATGTGCATGAACAGCCGTTCATGAAATGTCTCCTCTCAAGTTCTGAGATGTCTGATTTTCCTCTTAGCTCGCACGCCATCAGTTTCCTCGGTGGAGCTGCATTCGGATTCACTTTCTTGGGGCTGGACCGGGAAGCTGTCCTGCTTGCTCTGTTACCTGTGGTTCACTCACGTGTCCCGCAGTGAACTGCTCAACTGGACATATCGAGATAGGCCCGATTGCCGGGGTGGTCTTTCTGGCTGCTCTGGGGCTATCTGGGTGTGTTATCCTGTGGCGCAGGCGTGGTGCTGGACAGATTGCCGAACCCACCATCATAAGGCCCTTGGATGGCAAGCGGGGGGCACTTGGGTGTGCCACCTCTTGGAGGCCTATCGAGGGGTGAGTTTATTATCGTCCAATACCACGTGCCAGAGAACTTATGGCACGTACGACTCCTTTTGTCATCTGTTTCCGAATCCCTGTGGGTCATTCTGACTCCTCAGGGAGATCTTTACATAGAAGACATCGGTGTGAACAGCCGCGAGATCTCGGCGTGGCGACCCTTCGACCCGGCTGGGCCACTGCCTTACGGAGTGGCCCCTGGCACTATCCATGGCTTCAGGCAGCTTCCCGACGCTGCTGCTCAGCAACGTCTCTTCGACGAGGGAGACCGGCATGCTCAGGTGGAACGGGCAAGGCTGGGTCTTGTAACGGCTGGCGGAGGCCATCCGGTCGGTGCTTCAGGTGTGGGGCAAATGGTGGCAGCCGGGGGATGCAATCCAGGTGGCGGAGTGCCAAACTTGGCTGGACCACCAGTTGCAGCGCCGAATGGAGCGGGAATAAGTGGAGGTCATGCCGGTCTTGTGGCTGCGCTGGGTGGAGGTGGAGTGGGAGACCCAACTGCACCTCCAGATGGCGACGATGCACGCACCTTAGGAATCACTCGAGACGACACAGGCTTGAGATTCAAAGAGTTCAGGGTGGCTGTCACGGAGTCGAAGGCTACAGATTTCAGCGACTGGCCAATCAGTGGGCCCCGTACAGTGAAGCATGTTATCACACAGATGTTGGATCATGGAGGCTCGGCCCTTGGTCATCACCAGGCTTGGCGGGTGGCATGCAAATTTCAGCCAAACGACGGCCCTGCTCAGGAGCACGAAGCTTGGTGCCGTGTCCTTCACACTCTCATGACATACGATCAGGTGGATGTGACGAACTTGGCAGGAGCAGAGTTAATCGCGAGGGCCATCCAGCGAATCGAGGAGAAGCACAAGTTCAAGCTCACGGCGGCCGACGACGCTGGCGAGAACGCCTTGTTCATGGGGGCCGTCGCTGGGAGTCGGGTGGGCTCAGTTGTATCTCCCAAGCTAACCGAGTGGATAGGAACGGAGATGCAGAAGGAGGCAATGGTAGCCAAGGAGCGGAGGAAGGCCAGGGAAGAGAGGGCACTCCAGCGGAAATCCAACAAGGACGAAGGCAGTCAAAAGTGAGAGTCTGTCGAGGTCCGCCCTTGATCCTTGGTTCGCTTCGGACAATTTTGACATTTCTTTTATGCATTTCTTTCAGCGTTGGAGTGGGAGCTGCTGATGCTAGCCAGCGTCAGCGTAACATCTTCCCTCTGCCTGAGCTCCGTGGTGATGAAGGCGCCGGCCCTAGTGGTGAGGATTGGAGTCTTTTCGCTAACCATGGTATCAAAGCACTCAACGAGATCGCGGGGTGTGTTAATTCAGAATTTCACATGAAGAAGAAGTCGACACGTGCTCAGCGCCGTGTTCTTAAGTTTATCTCTGATGCCTTTCGGGATGCCTACGGCGAGTCTGGTTCTGGTGTTCCAAATGATGGTATTCGGGGACTTTGTTCTTCGTCACGCCTCTATGACAGTGGGCGCAGTGACGTGATGCCCTATGCCAAGGATAATATATCCTGGCCCGAGGTGAGCACACATCCAGTCTCTTTGCTGGAGTGCCTATCTCCGGCTGACCGAGAAAGGCTTGGGGCTTGGCGATTGCATATGCTCAAACCCGATGACGACTGCACCTTTGAGGATTCGCCAGTTACTCCTTACATCGATCCTATCCTTAAGAATAACACGGTGGAGTATGGGGACTTTCTTCGTGAGCTTGCTGATCGCAACGTGATTGGTTTTCGCAGACACAGTGATTATGACAGTATGCTCGGTGTACTCTTTGTCAAGAAAAAATCCGGACAATTGCGGCTCATATTTGACACCCGCCGGCTCAATATGAAGTTTCATGACGCTCCAAACACTGATCTTCCCTCTGCTGATGCTTTTACTCGTATGAGTCTTCCCGAGAACACTCCATTTTACCTTGCATCTGGCGACTTGGCGAATGCCTTTTACACCCTGGCAGTACCTGACGAACTCGCCCACATGTTCACACTCCCCGGC